GAGCAAAATCCACCCGCATTTGGCGGGTTGGCGGGTGTTAATGTCAAGCCCTGCTGCCAACCCTCAAAAAGCCAGATCAAAATGATTAATTATTGAACTTGAGCAACCATAATTACATAAACATCATTTAGCAAACACATTTATCCACAATCAATCCACATATGACAAGCCCATATCATTAACATATGTACGTCTTAAATGTACAGTGCACAAATATGGTGGAAAATGGTCATAAGATTCAATTACAACTGCTTTTGTATGTGTATGTCACATTATAATGTGTAGAATATGGAATTTATCATACACACTTAACATGAAATCCAGACTGCCAATCAGGCAACATTAAAAGTCAAATGGTACTTGGATTGTCATTAAAATGATGGTCTCAGTCAATTAATGCTTTGAGTAAAAGCAGAATCTGTAATGCATAACACCTCCTAGGCAGATCTTACACTGGCATCGGCCCAGAAACGTAATAGAAAGTCATTTTAATCCAAGACGCTAATGCTAGTTCTTACAGATATTCCCTCAGGCTGGGGAGAATGGAGGGAAAATCAAAAGGCTAAGCATGAATTTTTCCCTTTGAGCTAAAGCGAGTAAGCATTAAACATTACTGAAGATTTCTGTTTCTCAGCACTCTGCTTACAGAGGTTCAGTCCCGAGAAAATAGAGGCAGGACAGAAAGAGAGATGTGTGTGTGGGCATGTGAATATTTGTGCCTCCAACAGTGTGTGCGAGTGTGTGTTTCTAAGTAGGTCGGCACAGGACAAGTTTCTGTTCTCGGTAATGGCGTACGCTAATGGAGACAGGCAGATTGACTTTAGGGACAAAGATGTGGACTTACAAGGTCATTTCCCTTTAGTGTCTGCACGTGACTTTTGGATTATTGTTGCTTTATGTACACAGACATTACCCCTACTAATTGATTTAAGAAACTTCCAGTTTAGACTCAACAGCTGGATTTAACATATCTAGCAAACTAACAACTGTAACAAATGTAAGTGCATGTGTTTAGATACAGTACATACTGTGATAGTCAGAATATTTGACTATTTATTTATTGGATGAGTTGGACCAGATGGTTGAGGGAAAGCACATACATGTAAAATACTGTTTAAAAGTATCCCATGATGCACCTCATGAAGAGCTCAAATTAAAAATGTGTTGCCGCAACTTACTAATACGCTAGCATGTTTTACTAATTTGTTCCCTCGTTTTAATTATTCGTTCCCTTGTTTTACTAAAGCATAGCCACGTTGTTCCCTTGTTTTAGTTTAATCAAAATGAGGGAACAGATGAGTTCAATGTGGCCACGATTTACTAAAACGAGGGAACAAATTAATAAGTCGTTGGAACAAATTCTTAATTAGTGGCCATGATTTAACTGAAACGAGTGAACAAATTAGAAAATAGTGTCCACAATTATTTTTATTTTTGTCTGCATGTCATGTGCGTGGCTCTGTATATTACACACATATATATATATTTTTCTATAAAACAAAGATTATTGGAGTATGTTTTAAAAGAAAATACACTCAATTTTTTTTTTATTATTATAAAAAAGTAAGATGGTGTTTCCATGTTTTGTTTTCTTTTGCTTTGCTTCTGATTTGTTTTTCTTTTGTTTTGTTTTCAAATGTTTAACATTGAATATTGAAAGTATTAAATTTTTTTCAGCATTTTTGTTCTTCTCTTTTTTTTTAAGTTATCCATATTTTCTAACGTACAACATCATGTTTTATTTAAAGCATGTAAAAAGATGTCTTCAAGATTTCACTTAAAGCATCTAAAAGATTTAGACCTTTGAAAACAGCATGAATGTATAATAACCGCCACTGTCTAGAATGTGAAGCACCATTAGTTATTAGTTGCCAAATTTATAATAATTTATTCAATTTTATCTCATGTGAATTGGATTAATACCTTACTTCAAGTAAACCCCCCGTCATTTAAAAAAAAAAAAAAAAAGAAATCTGCAAAAGGTCTCATTTCAGTATTTAGCTCCAGATCAGAAATGTGTAATCTCTTATCTGTCTGTAATCCCTAACATCATATAAGCACCACGATGACTGTGATATTAACGACTGTAAGGATCTACATTGATAATCTGACTGCGAGCTGCGTCAGGTTTCTGTAGGTGACATTCAGTGTGATTTTCTGAGAGGATCTGCAGCAGCCACAGAATCAGACGAATATTAATGATGGATGCCTTTAAAAGCCACCCTGGAAAGAGTTTGACATTGAATGAGAGAGAGTAACTTTTTTCCTGCCACACTGATAAATAATTTCCTTCTATCTTTCTCTCGCAATCTTTCTCTCTGTCCCATTTGAATCCCTCCCACTTTACTCTTTCCACCCTCCATCCATCATCTCTCCTATCTCTATCCAGAGAGAGAAATCTCCACAGAGGTTTCTTTATCTGCTTCTCCCTAGATAATCCATCTTTATTCTTATCTGTGTGTTTTGCAAGTCTTTGCTAACTGTCATTGTACACATAGGGGATAGTTATCATGCAATATGATTTTAGTTCAGTTTAATTTAGCTTATTTATTTAACATATTTAATAACGACAAAACTGATTAAAGAGCTGCACGGGCAAGTAAATTACAATAACAGCAATACATAAACCGATATTACACAAAACAAGACAGTAACAAAATTACAGATAATGGTAAATTATACAAACAATCCCCTCTCAACAGTGCCAGAACTGGTAACCCTAACTCATAAGCCACTGTAAAGAGATACGCCTTAAGCAAATATTTAAAAAAACACATTTAGAAGAGGAAGATTTTTGGTACAAAGGCAAGCTATTCAAGAACCGAGGTGCTGCCACCGAAAAAATGCATGATCCCCCTTAAGTTTTAAGCACATCTGTCCAGACAGCAACAGAGTATTAGATGGCCTTAAGTACCTATTGGTCTGATGGTAAGAGAGATAAATAGTGTGGTGCCAAACCATTCAAGGACTTTGGAGCCAAAAACGGGTGTAATACTTTCCCTCTTTCTAGTGCCAATTAAAAGTCTGGCTGCAGCATTTTGGTCCAACTGGAGATGGGATAGACAAGATTGAGAGACCCCTAAATACAATTCTGTATTGTGACTCAGTGTTTGGCATGGTAATGGTTTTGAATGGTTTTAAGATGTTGAGATATTTGGTCTTAACAGAATAGATCTGCTATGCTGCTGCTGTAGAGCAAGTACGGGACTTGCTACTGCCAATACATACACAACACACTGCTGTGAGCAAGTAAGACATGCTGCTGCTGCACAATACAGCGTACATGAATTACCCTTGTCTATACAGTTGTATCTGGGGAAGGTGGAGGGAGTCTGAAAGCATGCTGCACTGCTAGTTCACACTACATGATTTTAAGCCCGATTTGCAAATCGTTGAGCTCGCCGACAGGTCAGGGTGTTATCGCGTGCAAATCGTGGGGGATTAGCGGGCGATGAACGCTCGCCAATCTGTTAGTATGAAAGAGCCAACAACGCATCAAAGACGCTCGCATACGCCTCGCCGACGCGTCGCCGAGCCCAGAAAAATATCTAGCGTGCTAGATATCCAGAGCTGTCGCACGACTCAACCTCACGTGATGTCATGAGCTACAGCCAATCAGAGTAAGGCATGGGTTGAGGTCACCGGGTAAATCTTATTTTTTCTTTTTTTGCGTTTTTTCTCAGAGCGCAAACTGAGAAAATCATTGCACAAACAGTTTGCAGCACTAGTTTCTGTCTGACGTCCATATTCGCGTGTTGTGTTCTTCTTCGTCTTCTTCGCTGGGTATTGGCGCGCATGCTGTTTCGCGTCATTTCCGGTTCGTTTTATCGCGTGATTTTTCGTGACAAAACGTGGTTTGTAGACAAGATAGAATCGTTGGGTGACAGAGTTGTTGTCAACTCGTGTAGTGCGTTACCTCCTGTTGCGGATCAATCACGTTGTGTTGTGTGGTGTGAACAGCTCAACAACTTGAACACTCCTGATTTCACAGAGAGCAAGTCATGTAGTGTGAACCGCACAGTTCAGCCCGACGTTTTAAAATCATGTAGTGTGAACTAGGCTTAAGGCAAATGCTCACCAAGTATTTGAAGGTTGAGCAGCGAGCTCATTGACTGATACAGCAGGAACCAATCAGCTGTTCCCTGTAGAGAATGATGTGATTGCAAGCAAGTTGAGTTGAGGACCTATTAGCCTGTGCCATCTAGTTTCATGAAAGAACTTTGTATTGAGTTGCAATAGTCCAATCTCAATGAAATAAATGGTTGAATAATAGTTTCTAAGTCATTGAGTGGGAGGAAAGGTTTCATTTTGGCAATCCTAAGCTGAAAAAAAAAATGCTGATTTGACAGCTGAATTTATCTGTTATCAAGTTTGAGCGTGGGGTCAAAAATTACCCAATACAAATGAAGGATTTTGGAGTCGTTGAGTTGAAGAACATTCTCCGCCATCCAGCTTTTAACATCACAACACAAAAACAATGTATTTTTTTCTGATTGTTCTTTTCTCTTTCTTCTGTCGTCTCATTCATTCTCTCCTTTGCCCAACGAAATAACAGTCTATCAGATGTATAATTGAAGACTTCAGATACAAAAACCTATAAGTCCGTCTGACATTTATCTTTTAAAAGAGCACTTTTATGTTTTCAATTTTACTCTTATCAGTGGCATTTTTGAAAAGTAAGACATTTCAATAACTGACAAATAACCTTTTCATTGCCATGAAAGCGAAATTACTGAACCTAAACATAGGAGCCTGATAAAAATGCTTATTTAAAAGAAAAATGTCAGACAGACTTCAATTATTGATTCTCTCTGATAAGTGCCAGTAAGAAACTACAAAGCAGTGCCCTAGCCTAGCAACCATAGAACTCCTGCTTAAAACTCAATAGCAACAAATAGCAATGCTCTACACCCTAAACACCCTGATATTGTGTTGTCAGGTTTTGCAGAGGCAAGCATCTCTCTTAATGTTAAATGAACATTTCTCTGTTTCTTCTGCAGCAGCGTCTCTGCTGCCTCACAGGTTTGTGACGGTCCGCAGAGGCAGCCCGGCGGCTCGCAGTGGTCAGATCAGGCCTGGGGATCGTCTGGAAGCTGTGGATGGGAGATCAGTGGTGAATTTACCTCACAGAGAGCTGGCTCAGATCCTGAGGAGAGCTGGAAACACACTCCGCTTGACCATCGTACCCCGCGCCAGCGCTCGTAAGTGGATTACTTCATACACCTGCGCTGATCGTTTTTACTTCATTAAATAAAAAGTGTCATTTATTTATTGAATTAGCCGTAGTTACCATTATAACAAAAACATATCCTAATACTTATCTTCCCTCAGATGATAAGTATATCTACTAAGTATAATACTTATACTTATTACTTATATTATACTTATATAAGTATAATACTTATATAAGTATAATACTTATCTTCCCTCCTAATACTTACCATCCCTCAGATGGTGGAGGAAAAATAGGCAACAAGTATAATATGTAATAGCATATCAACTTCAATACTGTTTAAATGTGACCCAGGATGCAGCTCATGAAGTTGGTTGCTGGTTGAATGTTCAGAGCTTGAATCTAAGGACAGCTATTGAGAAAGCTCAAATATGAGACAGAAAAATATTTTTTGTTTGTTTGTTTGTTCACTACTGATCTTTTTTTACTTATATACAGTATGTATTTAATATATATCTAAAGCAATAAATAACATTGTAACAAAATTGTATCCTAATACCTTTCTCCCGTCAGATTCCTCAGAGCGAGCAGATAATGACTCTGATTATAAGAACAGGAAAACTCACAGGTCAAAACCAAAGGTGAGCAATACCTTTACCTTACAATGCCTTTACTTAAGCTGTCTGGCAAAAAAATGACAAATAATAACTCCCTCCTTTTTCATTTTTTTCCCCTCTTTGAAACACAAAGCAGGACGCCACACGGTACTATAGTGTGGAACTGGAGAGGGGGTCCACTGGATTCGGCTTTAGTCTGAGAGGAGGAAGTGAATACAACATGGGACTCTATGTGCTGGGACTGATGGAGGGAGGACCGGCCTCACGCAGCCACAAAATACAGGTGCAGATCTGTGGCTTTGATCTATAGATAAAGTAATTACTTTTGGGGATACAATTATGCAAAAATGCCTGAAAAAGTGTAAAGAGACTAAATAATCACAATGGTTTCATTCTAAGTATTATTTTGGGGTTAAGGTTAGTCTGTAGTAATTATAGTTACCTTAAGAACAATGGAAGTCAAGAGGACACCCTTATTTAGATGTACGTGAGCAGGTGTGTGTGTGTGTGTGTGTGGTAGAGGCTGCAAAATGTTGCTTTTTGAGGAGAGCGTGTGATACCGTATACATTGTCAGCCATTTTATAAAACACTACTATTTTATAATACCCTACCATTTAAAAGATTGGGGTCGGTAAGATGTTTTAATGTTTTTTTTTTTAAAGAAGACTCTTATATATTGTATTGTGAGTTATTATTACAATTCAAAATAACTGTTGAAATATATTTTAAAATGTCATTTATTCCTGTGACGACAAAGCTGAATTTTCAGCATCATTACTCCATTCTGCAGTGTCACATGATCCTTCAGAAATTATTTGAATATTTTGATTTGATGCTCAAGAAATATTTCTTATTATTGTCAATGTTACTGTCAGTCTGATCGCTTAGAAAAGCGCCTTAGCAAACACCACAAATTAGAAAATATTGTCATAATAATTTCCTAATTGTATTAATTGTATTTAATTGCACTTATGTTGGTCCAAAAATACATGGTCTTACTTTTATAAATGTTGCTGTTTATTCACTGTACAAATAATAATAATGTCTAAAACACAATTGTGGCTCATTTCTGTTGTAATTGTGTTTGCTGTAGGTGAGCGATCAGCTGGTGGAGATCAATGGAGACAGTACAACAGGAATGACTCACAGTCAGGCTGTGGAGCAGATCAGGACCGGAGGAACCAGGATACACCTCGTGTTTAAAAGAGGAAATGGATACGTCCCTGACTACGGTAAGACAACATGTCAGAAGTCAGCTGAACATCACCCGAATGTTATCATCTAAAACATGATGGTCATATTCACATTGCTATAAAGATCATGTTGTCACCAGATAACAAATAATAACATAACATGATCATGTACAAAGCAATAAGCCATGAGAGGCTGTATGTAACAGTGGTTTAACTGTGGTAAAGGGCCGTTGTTAGCGTAAAATCCCCTTAACCATGGTAAAATCACTATCTTAAAGCCTTCGTTGGCTAAGCTTCTTTGTTGGTTTTTCAAACAGCTAAAGCAAAATTATAAAATAGACCAATGTTCAATAAATAATTTTTTTTTTTTTTTTTTTTTATGGATGTAGACTTGCATATAGAATGTGTAGAATTCAATAGGGCTTTTCACACTGTGCTTAACCCTGGGTTATCGTTGTTTTAAACCCTGCTTTTAACCCCAGGTAAAGGAATATTTCACACTTGTAATTTAGAAGCAGGGGTTTTTTTCTCTGCATTGCTGTGCCAAACTTGTACAGTGTGAAACAATGTGGTGTTAGTATTGTACAACCAATTGTAGGGCTCATATTCACACGCTTTGGACGGTCATCGAATCACCACATGTTGCAAATAAACGGTATCAAGATAACCCAGGATTACATTTACCCGGAGTTTAGAATGACCCAGGGTTAACTGTTTCAAAAGTTAAAAGCTCATCAGTCTAGTCTTTATAAAACATTATTTGTCTTTTTATGAAAATCTCTGTATCTATTAGCTTACTAACAGCTCTTCTCTGCTTTTTTATTTGGACTTTTTTTTCCCTTTTTCTATTCTCCTTGATTTCATTTTTTTATAACTCATTACTATCCCCTTTCATTATTTGTGTCTTTTTAACAAATTATTTACACTCGCTTCTACTAATTTGCTTTCAATTTTGGGTCATCTCGTCTGATTTGCCCTTCATCCTTATTTTTATCTCATTGCTTTCTTTATATTTTGATCTTTCATTGCCTTTATTTCCTATGAACCATTTTTTTTTATATATATTTCACTCTCCTCCTCCCTTAACTCCTTGTTTTCAATCTTTCGGCTTTCCCTCTTTCTTTTCCTCCTCCTTTAGTGGAGCTCTCCAGTCTCTCTCTCTGTATGACCAACTCCAAGCTGGGCGAACCGTGTTTCTATGTGATTGGAAGGACAGAAAATACGCGGTTGGTAGCTGTTCCTGTTAGTCCTCCATTTTACTGTTTCTCTACATCTGTCTCATATTTCTCTGTCGTCTAAACGTCTTTGACCGTGTTTCCCGGTCTCCCTGTCATATGTTAATAATACACCAAGAGTCACTATGATGTCAACCTGTTTGTGATGCAGTATGACAGAAGAGGTAATGATTTAAAAACAGCTGTAATGTTTGTTGGTAATTCCAGATGAAGCTAATTAACTTGCATTATATTATTAGAAGTTTGTCAGTAGATTTAAAAAAAAATTGCAATTGATTGCATGATTTTTTTTTTTAGTATCATATGGCTGTCAATCATTTAAAATTCAATAATCAAATTAATTATATGCTTATAAACTAACCAAATGAACATAATTAAGATACATTACATTATTTTGACAGCCAATTAAAGCATGCAAAACATGCATAGCATTTAGAGGGTACTTCAAGCTTCAGTTGCTCCAATGGGAGGAAAATTCCTCATTACAGAATTTATGGGTCAGGGAGCACGATTAAAATGTTGTTCATTCATTCCCAGTGCATTCAGCTTCTTGTTTAATGAGAGAAAACAAAATATGTTACAGAGATGTCTTTTGACTCTGCAGAAGCCCTTAGTTGGCCCTCTCATTATCATTTCAACCATCAGTGGTGTGTTGCGCTTTTATTTCATACCTTTTTTTTAATGATAATTCAGTTCTGCCATACAAAGACTGCAAATGGCTTCGCTATTGTTAAATCATCTCTAATTTGGAACAGTCATTAAAATTTACTTAGCTCTTATATATTCTATTAGCCAATTATATTAGACATTATATGCTTATGAAATTGTCCTGCTATTCGGACTATTCCGAGTGTAGAGAAAGGGAACTAAAGTGCATTAGAAAAACTGTTGCCAAACATATAACATACTAGAAACATAATAATCATTCATTCATTTTGTTCTTATTTGTTCGTATTGTTCTTATTGTTATACATATAAAAATATATATATTTATTTGCATTGATAATTCCGTCAACCTTTAACAGCCATGGAATCTTTCCATTGCGGAAAAGTTTATTTATTTATTTTTAAAGTTGTTCTTCACACTAAAGGTGTGGTGAAAGGTTGAAAGGTTCCTCGCGTCCTTTGGAATCTGTATTTTTTAAGAATGATGTTAACTTTGGCAATTATTTTGTTATTAGATTTTATTGTAATTATAAACATGATTTAGGTTTTGTTGTATTATTTAATAGTGAAGTTATGTCATGCAATAATAGAGTTATTGCATATAATTAAGTGGATCGTTATTAGCATATCAAACAGAATCTTTTGCATTTCAAAAGCTTCTTAGCTTTTAGTTTTAATGAGTCAGCCGCAGCTTTAACCCTTTGACGCGTACGATCACACCGGTGTGATCAGTCTTGGCTGGTCCCTGGAGCGTACGATCACACCGGTGTGATTAGAACGGTCAGTGCATCACGTGATCAACTGCTAAATTCAAACGTGCTTTCGCGCGTTGGCTGGCGCTGAGCCAGAGACAGACGCACTCAGTCAGTGCTGTCATATATCACAACTATTGAGTATTTTAAACCACATAATGTTTATTTTAGGTTTCAGACATTTAAATACACATAAGTACTAGCAAAACAGTGATTTTGAATTAGTAAAATAGACACTGATGTCTATGGAAACGGCAACAATAATAATTTCCATTATAATAAGACAAAACGTTTTATTCATATCAGATACACATTGTGTAAGTAGCTTTACATTTTACCCTATTCTTCTCCTAGTTCACCGGCCACTTACTTTCATGTATTTCGTGAGAAACAACAGGTCCGATTCTCTGAACTGTGAAACAAACTAACATGGCGCCGCCCATCGTGCATACAGCTCAACTAACGCGATCGTTATAAATATGTTTAAACAACAAAACACATCCACTTGCACATATTTGACAATCGGAATATCAGTGTTTCATGCTGTAGCTAATACATTTGTGAATATTTTGAATAGAAAAGGAAAAAAGACATAAAAGCAGATCATCACTCATTCAGCTCTGTGTTGCGATTGCGCTGTGTCACGTGACAAGAAATGACGCGTCACCATGGAAACATTAAAGTGACAGGTTCTAAATAACGGTCGCCTTGAAAAACTCACGCTGGGGGGTCAGTTAGAATATTTTAAACTTACGTGTGAAAGGGTTTTAAAAGTGAAGCACGCGGCACATTCAGAATGACCTCAAAGTCCTCGCTGAAGAGGGTGACAAAAGACCCCCGCGAAACACTCGAAGTGTTCCGGAACATTCGTTGTGATTGGTTTTCAAAACTCTCTCCATTTTACTTGAACAAGAGTTACTGAAATATTCCCCACACAAATATCTTGTCTGCACCAGAAGCACTGAACTCTTTTCAACAATGTTTGTTGCATTAATGTAATAATGTTACATAATCAAGTGAGTAAATGCTTACAATGTTCATTTTTCCTCTTTTCTCTCCGCCATTACGTCTCACCCTCAGACCCTGATGACGTCACAGCCGTCTCCTCCTCACCCCAGGCCCTGCAGTCGGGTTTGGCTTCAGTAACCCGTCGCCGTGCTCAACAGGATGCCAAATCCAGCGTTCAAAAACCAGGGAAGACCAAACGAGGGCGGAGAGTACAAAGGGAAGGTGACGGAGGAGACCGCGAAAGCCCTGACAGTCTCGAGGGTGGGGGGCGAAGGTCGAGAGACAAACGGTCACAGAGCTTGCCTAGAAACACACTTAGAGGGCATAGTGAAGAACACTTGGAGGGAAGTGTTGAAAGAAATGGGAGAAAGAAGGAAAAAGGTAACGAGAGAAGGGAAGACAGGTCAGGACGGAGCAAGAGTGAAGAGAGGGTGAGACGGGTGGAGAGAACGAGTGAAGGGGACGAGAGCAAGAACAAACAAACCATCAATAACCAGAGACTTCCTGAGCCTAAACTTCAGTGGGAGGAAGATGAGGAGGACGATGAGTGGGAGAGAGAGAGAGAACGAGAGTGGACGAGAGAGAGAGAAAGGCTGAAAGACAAAGAATGGGAGGAGGAGGAGGAGGAGGAGAGGAAATCAGAGAGCGACAGGGAATGGGAAAGAGAAAAGGAGAGAAGGGCGAATAAGGAAGCGCTTGAGTGGGAGCTGAACAAAAAAACTGAACGAGGGATTCCAGGCGAATTGAACGGAGAGCAAGAAATTAGTTTTCATAAGCGCCTGCGTTATTTGGGCGTCCGTGTGCTACCTTCAGACATTCAGCCCCGCACACTTCGACCCTTATCTGGCCTCTCATCGGAAGGGCCAGCAGGGGACGCTGAGTTCAATCGGACCCCGTTCGCTTTCCTCACGTCTGGGCCGTCCGACTACGCAGAGTCCGAGTCAGGAGCCAGTGTGTCTGAGTGTAGCATGTCTGCGGCCAGTATCTCTGGTCTCTCTGTTTATCTGAATAACTCAAAAACCACACAAAGGGCCCCGGGCCCCCCACTTCCAGGCCCCTGGCTAAAACCCAGCTCAAAGAGAATCATTAGAGAGGCTGAGAGGATACGAATGCTAGGGAAAGGTAGAGGAACTGAAACATGATTTATGATCTCTTTTACTGTTGCTCATACTTATGTTTTAAGTCGCATCGAAACGGGATTTTTTTCTTCCGTATTGTGACGTACATCTGAGTGAAACAGATTATGGAAAAAAAACAAAAACAAATGAAGGCCGGAGACTTGGTTCTCCTATTTTTGATTGGATGGAGGCAGATCTGAATGTAAGCTTGCAGTCGATTATATGAAAGCAGAGAGCAATTAATTTAGTAGAGCTGTTCTGTTCCATTTCTAAGTAATAGAAAATCTCTTTTGATCTGGCCATTAAGCAGTTTACATACAGTACATTTACATTTATTGATTTAGCAGGTGCTTTTATCCAAGGTGACTTAAAAATAAGGAAAATAACAAGTGATTTGTGCCATGCAGCAATATTTATCGTACACAATAGCAAGTTGCCAAGTTTAAAAGATAAGGGTGTTTTTGAGCATCTTAGTTACCACTTAGCAACCATCTACAACAACCTAGCATCATGGTGACGAGTTTTGCCCAGGCAAATACCACTTACAGGAAATTATTACTTTTTTTTATTTTTATTTTTTTTATTTTCTCTGCTCGTTTAAGCAATTTTTGAACACTCCCACTCCAGTTCGCTCTCTCAAGCCTTTCTCTCTTCCTCTTTTCCACTTTGTCCTCCATAAAGAATGTCTGCCATGATCAACATCTTTTACTTTTCTGCCAGACTGTTACAGTATGTTGACTTCGTATACAACAAGAGGATCATGCTTAGGGCCAAATATTCTTCTTATCTTTAATGGTAGCTTGAGTCCAGTTCTTACCTTTTGCACATCTGTTTTTCCTCTTCTGTACCACTGTGTGAACTCTCTTTAATCTTTAACAATGCTCCATATAAACCATGGAAAGATCATATTTCATTACTTACAAAGCAAATATTGAATGATGATTATACACTACCTTTCAAAAGTTTAGGGTCAGTATGTTTTTTTTTTAATAATACTTTTAAAGTGACAGTAAAGACTTTTACATACAAACGATGTCTTTTTTGAAGTAAATGCTTACTATTCATCAAAGAATACGGGGGAAAAATATGTTGGTTTCCTCAAAAATATGAATCAGCTCAACTGTTTTAAACATTGATAATAATAAGAAATGTTTCTTGAGCAGCAAATCAGCATATTAGAATAATTTCTGAAGGATCATCCGACTTTGAAGAGTCATGATGCTGAAAATTTCTGGAATAAATGACATTTTATAATATATTAAAATATAATATATTAAAATATTTTAAATTGTAATAATATCTATGTTTTCTCTGTACTTTTGATCATAGGAGACTTTAACATCAAAAACATAAAAATAATCTTATAGACCCCAAACTTTTGAACAGTAGTATAGCCTGAGATTTCATGTTCGAAACATTAACTTTGAACAATTTGTGTTGTGCTTTTCCTCCTCGAAATAAGCATTATTCAGATCTCTGCTAAGTATGACTGCATAATTTAGCGTTCTTGTGAATGGTGTGTAAACATGTAAACTTACACAAGAGGCCATATATTTGTCGAGTTTCCCCTGAAACATGTTTTGTTTTTCATGCATTTATACATAAATTATTATTATTGTATTCATCTTGTGCCCTCTGGGTCTCTGACATCTCAGGAAGCATATATATATATATATATATAAACTTTTTTTATTTATTAATCCCCCTATACACCCTCAAAATGGCCCTTATTGCCTTTGTAACAAAAGACTCTTCTGCTGACCTTGGTCTCTGTGACCTTGGAAATCTCAATTGAGTTAAAATGAAATGTCTTGATTGATATATTTTTAAAGGTTTTCATTTCTGAGTTTTTAGTTTATGCCATTTACCAGAACAATAATATATTGCCCTGCTTGACACATTTCCTGCAGCTATTAAAGTATGATTCACACAAATACAAAGATTAACTCTCAGTCCAACTTCCATAAAGAGAATATACAGTATATATGAAAATCATATCTATTTATTTTAAATATAAACAGTAATTGATAAAGGACAAAGATATGCTTTATGAAACGGTCCTCTTACTGCTCTTGGCCGTTTTGACCCCGTCAACCAAAAAGGACTATTGTGCTGAACATTTGTATTGGAAATATACTGTAAGTTGGATGCAATACTGAGTGGTGTTGTGCCAAGCCTGCAAAACCTCTTTAGTTTAATGCACCAAGGTCTTTCTCTTTTTCTTTATTGGTGAAAGCTTGCTAGTAAAAGTGAGAGAGAGGATGACTGTATTATGCTCTTGTGAACTGTAGCTTGTTAACTGTAGATATACTGATGATATTTTAGCATTTAACCTAAGAACTGTGCCTACTACTTATCAGTTATTTTCCTTGATTCATTTTTTGTGTCATCAAACCCAAATATCACCCGATATTGTTCATTCTGTGTGTCATACTGTCTAGCAGAACCTGTACGCACATTTAAACTATGCATAAGATGTTGCCATTTTAGATCATTGGGACAGCAGTGTATTCTGTGCAGCCCAGCAGGTCTGGGATCAAGTCGAAGTCAGTCTGGTGTTGGTGGTCCATGCATCTTTAAACATATCATAATTATTCAAAGTATGAGCCAATGCCACATAAGCTTTCACTAACGAGTCCTACGCCTCTATATTTATTACACGTTAAATCCGAAGGGTCCATTTTAGAGTCTCACATTGTCTTTATGTCCATACTAATGTCTATGGCCATATGTACCGATTGTAAATAGATATAAATATAAATATATTATTATAATTATATATATATATACATATAATATTATGTTTCTATTATGATTATATTGTTATAATCTATTGTAATCCAAATGCAGGTAACAAACTATATAAGAGTTATAATAAACATTAATGTATTTACCTGAGATCAATTGTGGACTGGAGTGTTTTTTCTCTCTCTCTCTCTCTCTCTCTCTCTCTCTCTCTCTCTCTCTCTCTCTCTCTCTCTCTCTCTCTCTCTCTCTCTCTCTCTCTCTCTCTCTCTCTCTCTCTCTCTCTCTCTCTCTCTCTCTCTCTCTCTCTCTCTCTCTCTCTCTCTCTCTCTCTCTCTCTCTCTCTGGTGTGTGTAGTGCTACATGTGGATGTAATTTCTACCCTGAGCAGTAGATGACAGCAAAGTGTATTGAAAAGCACTTCATAACATGAATATAAAAATAACTGGTAATTACTTGACTTTAGTATTTGAGATAACAACCAAAAATGTAATAATAATGTATTATTATTTATTAATTTATCAGACACTTTATTAGACACTTATTTTACAGCGTCCTTGTTATATGTGCTTACTGTAGTAACAACAGTAAATTATGCATAATTACTGTACATGCAAATAAACCCTAACCATGTTGTAAAAGCATGTTGTTAATTAATATTACTGAGTACTTAAATGTATAATTATAAGGACACCTTAAAAATAAAGTGTAACCAAACATTTTTTTTATTCTTTACTACTGTACAATATTGCCATGATTAATACAGTTCTATTCATACTGTTCATAATACAATTCTTAAGTGAAAAGTGTAATTAACTTACTAACATTTTGTAGCACAATTTTTTACTTAAATTAAAGCCAACAAAAACTTAATCTTCAATTTTATTGGTTTGATTTTTACAGCATATTTCCCCCCGACAACATATCATTTCTAAATTCCAAATTAAATAAGTTTTTATGTATTCCTGGAAGATGGTAGCTGCTTTGATTTAGAACATGATTTAGCTGGTCTAAGCTTGTAACCAGGTCATAGCATCTTGTGGTGAAACTGGCTTTGGAAAATTGTAGCTGGTCAACCAGCTAATGAATGACCATTAGAAACTACCATGTTCCAAAAAAGAATAAGGCAGCTAGCCTACCAGTTTGAACGAACTGGATATCCCAACAAGGAATTGATTTTGTTCCATTAAACAAAGTAATTCTCTTTCTTTAAATGTATTTTATGTCTTGACAATAACTGTTACTATGATATTTTTGATAGAGATCTTGTTACTATGGTAATTTTTGTAAGGCTATTCAAATTATTACGTTGCATACAAAGCCTAACATGTTTGTATGATTAAGCTTGATTTGTTGAAATATCTCTCTCTCTCGCTCTGTTCTACTGAAAAGATCTTGCGTGGGAAGACTGTGTGACGAGCGCAGGAAAGACTAGTTTAACGCTTCTCTGCTTTTCAGTTGCTACTAGATCTGTCAGGTGAGAAGCGCGCTCACGAACCTGAGCATCCGCGAGATCTTCTTCAAAAGCATCAGCGCGCGTCAAGTGACCAAGCGTCGGTTACTTCGGGAAATACAGGAGAACGCGGAACTTTGGCGCAAGTGGTCCTCGGTCACCTCTTAGATTTACGTCTTGGAAAAGTCTGTTTTATGAGAGAAAATACAAATGCCTTAAGTCTTAAACGACGTTGTTATTCACACTCGACGGACGTCGAGGTTAAAATAAACTAACAAGACGCGAAGATTGTACAAAGAAATTGGAGCGCGCGAGATGCACTGAAATCTTCCCTTAAAATGGGTTGAAGAAAAGAAAACGAAGATAAAGAGAGGTGTAAGTAGGTTTTTTTTTAACATGTGGAACCATATATGTAAATTATATTTTGAAATACATTGACACTATATTGAAGACGAAGAGGAACGCGCGCTCGGCGCGTGCAATTGTTTCATAGACTTATTTATCTCAAATTCTTCTTCTGCTGCTTTGTAGCCTATAAAAGCGGGTTACTGTCTTGAGATGTTGGACTTCACATTTATGATTCAGTTTTAGAATTTCACTGGTCGTGAAGCCGTTTCTTCACTTATATTTACAGTATGTTTTCTATCTCAAGCTATACAGATCTTAGTGGATTTCAGGGAATAAATTGGTATATTTTTGCTGCTGTTCCCTATTTTCCACTGTGCTACCTCAGCATGTGGGAGTTGTGTGTAGCACAGCAAATCTCAAGATGACTGGATTTTGGAATGACTGGGTTTGTGGAAACAGTAGAAATGATCTACAGATTTCTTTTGACTGTAATATAAGCATTTATTTACATCACTTATGTTCATGAGTTCATGTCGTCACATGGACTCAAATGGATCTTTTTGTCTGGAACAGCTACAAGCTGATGCTCAGAACTGTACATGCCATACCTTTTTTTTAGACTTTATCATTGTTTACTAACTTTTTGAAGTACAATCACAGCTGAGAGAATGCAAATGATTGCCCTTTGAACTCATTTGCTGAGAGCTGAAGTTACAGGCCATTTTTTTTTTTTTTTTTTTTTTTTTTTTTTTTTTTTTACAATTGAAGGATTCATGGATGAACATTAAGATGCAATCGCTGCAAATAACATTGGTGCTGTAAATGTCCTTTGCTGGTGTTTTTCATTTGTTGATACTCGTTGCATCTTATAGGATAAAAGACAGATCTGTCAAGCTTCTACCTTCGGGCTCTTTTGTTTTATCTCCCCCCCACTGAACTTATCAGGTGGGGGGGGGGGAAGGGTAAGGCCTAAACTATGGAGTCCAACCCAGACAGCCCAAGTCGGGCTGTGGAGTACCTTCTGGAACTCAATAACATCATCGAGAACCAGGCCAAACTGCTAGAAACTCAACGTAAACGCATTGAGGAGCTCGAGACGCAGCTAGACCGGGTCAACCAGGAGAACCAGGACCTGCGGCAGGACAGGAACCCAGGAACCGAGAAATCGCAGCAGATCCACAACTACAACCAGAGCTCAAAGCCCAGCCAGCCATCATCACTACCAAACCACAATGCCGGAGGCGTCATTCAGAACAGCAGCAGTAATATACCCTCATCCACAGTGCCTGGTCCAGCTCGACGGACACACACGAGGCTGACCCGAGGCCTGTCATGTGGGTCAGCTCCTGTTGAGAAAGAGAGAAGCCGACTGGAGCGCAATGACAGCTCTGGGACCAACAACACCTCGACTCTACGGAAACAGTAAGTGCCTCATTCCCTTGTGTTATAAACCTCATGTTATAAGGGGTTGATCTGGGTTATTGGGTGTTTGGGCCTTTGTGTTGCCATATGGTATTGTGGTATGAGAAGTTAATTTGTGTTGATATGAATTACAAAGTCTGGTCAACAAAAGTGTGTGTGCTTTTGTGCAAGAGATGAAAACGGAAGTCTAAGACTCAATTAATTCACAAATACATTGAGTTGAGACTCTTAAGGCCTGTTCACACCAAGAGCGATAACTATAAAGATAACTACATTAGTGTCCACACCAGCGGACGATATATTCTGTTTGTGTTAGTTTTGTGTCTGCCTCATTAAAAACTTAAGTTCTTTAAAGCAGGATAGATTCTGATTGGCTCTCAAAGTTTATAAAATCTTCCATCAGCAGAAAAAAAAAAAAACTTCCTGAAAGTGATTCCAACAATATCGTTTCCCTTAGACTTGAACATAATTTAACCTAGACTTTGACTTCAACAAGTCTTTAGATCTGCAAGGAGAAATATTTTTCTATTATTATATTATATTATATTATATTATATTATATTATATTATATTATATTATATTATTCTTTCCTGTTTTCCACAGATGCAGATATAGATATTATGATATGATAGATAGTATGATTGGTAATACATCATATGCTGGTGGTGTACCATGTGGCTTAGTGTGAGCAAAAACAAATTGTTTGCCACAGTAACTCATTTATTTACTACGGGGAAACATATAGATTTTCTGTTAACTAAAAGAAAAATATGCCTAAAAATTATTATTGTTATTATTATTATTATCAACAACAACAACATAATAATAATAATAATAATAATAATAATAATAAATAATATTATTAAATTATTATTAACAACAACAATATAATAATAATAATTATTATTATTATTCATATTATTATTATTTCAGATTAAATATTGTTTGTTTTTTATTCATGTAAATATATACTTTCTTTTGAACTATAGTGTTACCTAATGGATGAGAAAAAATATATAAAATAATAATATTTGTCCTATGACAGGATTTATAAACTTAACCTAAAGCAGGAAAATATTTAGACTTGATCTTGAAGACTTGAGATTCAATGGCAGAGACGTGAACGTGTATTTCTAACGTGATATCACATTTCTTCCGTTTTTGCTTGGTTCTGGCTTTATTTCTGTATATGGATGCAATCCGAAATATTGTAAAACACTTTATATATAAGTGAGGTCTACATTTGTGTGTGAAGGGATGTGCTCTGTGTATGTATGTTTGACAAAAGCACAATCTGGGTTTACTTTGGGGTTGAAATATTTTTGGGGTTCTCCGGAATTGAAATGAAACACCAAGTTCTCCCACTTCTGCTTATTGTGTGTGCTTATTCTGCTCAGGCTTTATGCCTCCGTGTTTTTCCATTTTAAAAAAAGCAAACACATGGAGTTTGTTGTTGGTGGGGGAAAGGTTAAGTATTCTGCAGATGTTTTTTTCTGCATCCTTGGGTGATCCAGGCATCAACAGAAGCAGCAGCTCCAGAGCGTCAGTCTCAGCGTGTGTCTTCCTCTCTGCCTCATTGAGCTCAACCCTCTATACTCGGCTCATATAATTATGTTTGCTCGCTCATCGCCAGCAGCTGCACAACCCCTGTATTCTCTACTCAAGTATCTTGAGAGCTCTTAGATCTGTTCATCTTCTGCCTCGTTCACCCTCGCTTGTCTGAAATTATTGACTAGAACAATCCATCACTCTCCTTTCACAATGTTGAATCATCAAGTTCAGAACAAGCCAAAATAAAAACACTAAAATAAACCAGGCTGATGAGGCTGATGGGGAACGCAGATTTAATGTTTGTCTTAAGTGTTCAGTGTGAAGTTCAAGCTGAGATTTGGTCAGATAATTCTCATCCACTGCCGTCTCGAATTGGAAGTATTTCTACTGGGTTGAAGATGCCTTTGAACGTTAAAAAAAAAAGTGTTTTCCAGCAAGAATTTCTCATTGAACTGTCTGTATACATCTACATTTTTAACATATCGAGGATACATGTCATTAGATGAAATACTCTGACAGTATGAAAAACATGAAAAATGTCTGACAGTCTAACTTATTTTATTGAAATTTAAATTTTAAACAGTTTGTGTCAGTCAACCGGTTAAAAAACATTCATTAATTAATTTGATTGATCTCTCAAAATCTTTCCCAGAGGTCCCTGTGTTGACTTTTCTCTTCTCTTTTTTATAGAGAGAAAAAAACAAACCTGATAACACTGATGTTTATTACTGATGTTTTTTTTTATTAAGTTTTGTAGATTAAATCAAATTTTATGTTGCTTTTGGCTCCAATATGTAGTCCACTGAACATTGAACATTACAAACTCATCATCATACTCTTGCAAATCGATTCAAAAAAAGAACTGTTACAAAAGAAAAGTTAGTTAAAAATCAGACAATTTAAGTGCATGCTAATTTTTAATGGGCTAAATACAATTAGCACTTATTGTTTGGTCGATTTCCAAACACATATATACACTTTCCACCCTTTTCACGTGTTAGTTTTTTATTATTACTTTTTGAAAACCAAGGATTTGTTAGCAGTCAGCAGTGGAGGATTCATTTGGTTGGTATTACAGGCAAATGGTATTCATTGACTGACTCTCTCTCTCTCGCTCTGCATCCTCCTCTTCTTTGCCTCCCTCCCATGGGGCCGTTAGTCATTAGTAAGGAACATATATTAGTTATTTATGTGGGTGTAAGACTGTGCTGATTGGCTGGGCAGTTTGTTCCAGTACTACAGAGATCATAGCGGAGGCAGCAAATGAAACGCTTCCATTTCTGTCTAGATTTATCCTCTAATTAGCTCCTTCACTATGATTTTAATTTGCTTGTCCTCCAGGGTTTAGCACAATGACCTCCGATTTATGCCCTCACAGGCACTTTTAAACCTGTTATAATATCTGTGCAGACTAAAGCTTTCCACAATTTTGGGATGCTACTGCACAACATTGTAAAATCATTTAGAGATACAGTAAATGTGTTATGCGGCTTTTCATCTAAATTATCTTGAGTGCCATGAGAGCAATTTAAGGGTTGATAAGAACACTGTTATTTTGGTATTATTTACCATTAAAGTATTTATTAATATATAAAATTATGTACAATTTAAGTCTTCATTTAAATTTTAGTTAATTAGTAGTAATTATGTTATTCTAATTTTAAGGTTAAGTTTTTTTATCTTATATTTATATATTTTTTCAGCTTTATTTAAATTATTGAAAATAATTTTTAGTAGTTTTAGTTTTAGTAAACATTCTTAGGAAGCCTCTTTTAATTCTCTGGGGAAATATTAAAGTGCCCCTATTATGCTTTTTTGAATATACCTTTCATGCAGTAGCTGTGAATGTAAAATGTCTGCAATGTTTTAAAGATCAAAGTACACAACAAATTAAGCTATTGTCTCCTAAAAGAAAAAATCGATTCTGAACTGCTGAAACGAGTCATCAGCAACTCCAGACTCACTTCCCGTAACATGGCGCAACAATGTAACAAATTTGCATAATGCCAGCCTATATGGTCTGCCCACGAACAACGTCTACTTTGACCATCCCTCAAACACTGTAGTTGTAGCTGAGGCCTGGAAGAGTTTGGTTCGTGTTGTCGACATGATGCTGTTTTCAGCACTGCAAATCCACTTTGCATGCATTTCAAAAGAATAAGGACTCGCACTGGAACTGATACAGAAACACCGAAACCATTGTTACTGTGTATCAAGCGCTGAGGAAGCCTCCAGAGTTGAAATTCAGATATGGTAACGAGCGTTTCATTTCCTACACGCGCTTTATGCTGTGGACCAATCACAACAGACTGGGCTGTCTGACAAATCAGAGCAGAGTAGGTTTGTGGAAGGGAGGGGTTTTGAGAGACTAAATCTTCAAACTAACCATTTTTTTCAGATTTCATTTTCAGAAATTAGGTAATGTGTAATAGCCTGGTTAAAACCAGACCATTCTCAGTTGTAATTGAGTTATGGTCTGGGAAAGCGTCATAGACAAATCATTTCCAGAGGGGCGTCAACAACGGACGTCGCGGATAGACCTAAAACCAATCAGAGCGATGAAGGAGATGACGTATGCAGAGCGGTGGAGAAACATCTCCGAGTGTTGTTCTTTGCTCAGTTTTTAACAAAAAGGAAACGTTCAAATCGCTTAAAACAGACGCGATAGCTGATTCAAACGAGTGATGTTCGACGGCGGCATCCATCTTTGTAATGTAGGCTACAAAATCTGCTTCAAAATCCCAGCGCTGTCGTCATCGTGTAAAGCCCGCCCCAACGTTTCTGATTGGTGCCTCGATTTCGACGGATTGGAAATGGGCTTGAATGAGCTCTTTGCCAGACTAACTTTCAGAGCAAATCTAAATTTACCGGAAGTTGTCTGGGTTTTCCCAGGCTAAATGTGTAATGTATATTATGAAAAAATTAAAGTGTTTTTTGACCTTGGATGCATTTAATCATATTGTAGGAGACCTTCAAAACAAAATAAGGAACCATTAAAATAGCATAATTGTTACGTGGAGGTGGTTGAAGCAAGGAGGAAGCAAAATCCAAATGCAGCTTACTTTATTTAAACAAACTCAAACTAGACAAAAACTCAGACTAGGGAACTAGGGAAAAATTCATGTCAAGGAAACAGAACAACCAACCTGGCATAACACACAAACAACATCAAGAACTCACAAAGACTGAACTAGACACAGGGCTTAAATACACAGGCAAACAAGATAACAAGGGGGCGTGGCTAATAAGAAACACTTGGGAACAATGATCAGACAATTAACAAGACACATGGCAAACAGGGAATCACATGACAGACAACAACAAGGAACAAGACACAAAACCCACACCGTGACAATAATAGAGGCACTTAAAAAAGAAAGAAAGAAAGAAATGCCTGTACTTATTATTATTTTCCATACAACAACTATAATGAATGGGAGCATTTAAG